GGGCATTAATTATTGCTTGCGAAGGAGATAAGAGCTAGCTGTAGTTCTCAATGCTGTGCTCACCTATATCTCTGTACCCCCTTTTAAGTTAATTTCAACACCTACCCACATACCTACAAAACAGATATCCTCACTTTAGTTGTTTTTGAACAGTCTTTGTGAGAAATAAGACGAGTATTTATTTAACAGAAGTCCTGAGAATCAAACCCTGAGTCTGCTGAATACATACTGTATTAGTGAGTGACACCACCCCACCCCCCGGCACGGCTCTCAGCACATGTTTTGTGGGGTGCCTTTTCCATGCTGAGCCCTGGCCTAGGTGGTAGAGCATAAAAGCAGTGACCCAAAAGCAGGCAAGAACTCTTCTTGTACACGTAGGAAAATAATAAACCAATAAATAAATAAAATGTTTAGTCTGTGCAAAGGTTTTTAGTGGATAGGGGATAAAAATAGGAAAGGCAAAGGGCGGGGCTCTTGCCTCTAACTCAGACAGGGATAGAGGAGCACGTGCTCCATGAACAAACCCACTGCTGCCGGACTCAGGGAAATGCAATGGTCTCAAGAAGGTGGCCCTGGTCAGACACTGAAAGTGTCTTTGCCCTTTACAAAAGATGCAAAGTGTCACAGGGCATGGAGGCTCATGTCTATAATCCCAGCACCGGGAGGCTGAAGCAGGAGGATCACCACAGCTCTAGGCCAGCCTGGGCTACATAGTGAGTTACAGGTTAGCCTGGCCTAGAGAGTGACCTGGTTTAAAAACAAAGTAAATAAACAATTGAAAGATGAGTTAAGGTTCCCATTTAAAAATTGAAATAAAATTCACTAAAGTCCAATTAATTATAGTCTCTTATGATAATGCCTTGGTATTTAAAATCTAATGCTTATAGTGTTTAAAATTTTACAAAAACAGTTAAGGCCATTCAGTTGGGGGTGTGTGTAGGGGAAGTAAATCTTCAGGCTGGAATAGCCAGAGATGAATCAGTTAATGAATCTTCTGATAATCTTCTTTTATCACATTTGATAAAAATGAGATCTGAAAAAGCTGAATGAAATCCATATCCATCTAGGTTATATGTAATGGAAAAGGTCTTCCTTTAGGTTAAATGTGTTGTCTAGCGTTATAAGACTAGTTAACAGCCAAGGCAGCACAACGATTTTTCTAGTGTATAGTGAACATTCCTTCAGTAGTGTCTATGATGGTAAATCGGTGACCAATCTCTCCATCTAATGGTCTCAGCTCACAAGAGACACAATTCAATCTCTGTTAAGGGTCTAGATTAATGCGGGACTTAGTAAACCTCCTACATTGTCTGCAGGGCGGAGGACAGAGGGACAGGAAGGGTCCAGAACTCCTCAGGCTTTCTCTTGGAGGACAAGAAACTACTCACATGCACGGGAGGACGGATCCTGAGCACTGGGTCTTCACTGCCTGTTTTGATAATCCCAAGATTCTTTTAGCTACAGCTATGTGCTATCAGGTCTCCTCTTTGCCAGGAAGGCAGAGCTAAACCTGTTGTCTTCTTTCCCTCTGAATCTTGGGTCTGTCCCTGATCACCTAGCTTTCCTCTCAAGCTGCTCCCACCTCAGACTGAGTCCTAGCTGAGATATGAATTCTGTAATTTAGGGGACTCAAAATCTCAAGAGGCTCATGGGATATTGGACAGGACAGCAGAACATTGGAGAAACAGTCCTGGGACTGTAGGTGATTGCCAAGGAAAATATTACAGGCACAGTGAAATGTGCATTTCAGAGAAAACTTTGTCCTAAATATTGATAAATACTGAAAGCTTATCATTGTTTGTTCAAAATTAAAACTGGACAGGGTGTTCTGTTTGCTGAATCTGACAAGTCTACATCTATGAGGAGGTAAGGCTGGCAACCCCAGGTACCGGAGACTGCTTTGGTTTGGGCTGTTTGAGATGGGTAAGAGGGAGACAAAAGAGGAAAAAACTGGACGCGCATGGTTTTCGTTTGAAACAAAAACCGGGAGGGAACCTCTTTATTTTCAATTCCCCTGTGTTTCTGTGTGTGTCCTTGTGCTTTGCGGACACAGAGACTGATACTAAGAAAAACTGCAGAAAGTGACACCAGTTACAAGTATTGAATTAACAGTGGGAAAATAAACACTGTAAAAACGTGATCAGTTTAAAAATAACCATATTATGTGTAGGTAAGCAGCTGCCTCCTAGTTACCCCCCATGGCCATGCAGCCTCATCATCTCGCTTGTTCCCATACAATCTTTATGCCTTCCCAGAGCCACGCATAATACCAGAGGGGCCTAAGAACCCACTTCTTTCCGCTTGGACATCTACAAGTTAAGTAACCAAGGTCTGGAGGGAAGCAATGGCAGATTGAGGATCCCAGCGCCAAAGAGCATTGGTCCTGAGGGCACACCAGCGTTGGTCTGTGTCCTAACTAATCTGTTTGTGGTATTAGATTTAGCTCTTATAAGCACCCTAGCAACACCTTCATTATTCAGGTGTGAGGTGAGCAAGACAGGGAGAATTATGACTCTGGCCTGGGTCAAAGGTCATATAGCCAAAAGGTAGAAGAGGTGATGGCTGAAAACCCAGCCACTCCGGCTGAGACGCCTGCACTCAGCTGTGACACCCTGCCTCTGTCAGGTAAGATTAATTTACATCACCAAACATGTTACAAATGTAAACACTCAGAGTCCCCAACTCCTATGGTGGATCAGTCACTTAATCATGAGGTTACTTGGACAGAGTTAGTGGAAAGTTGATAAGACATTGTTGTTATCCATGCCAATTTCAGAATGAAAGGAACTGTGTGGACTGTGAATGTGCCCATTGCTATCATTGCAAAGCAATTGGGTTTCAGTTAGTTTTGAAATATTAATTTTAAAATCATAATACCATGGTCTATTATTGAAGTGACTATTCACTGCCACATAGGAGGTTTTGAGCTTGCAGCTAGAGTCTCTCAAGAAAGAAGAGGAGGCACAAGAAGCAGGACAGGGTGGTTGAGAGGGAGGAGGAAGGGAGAGAAAGAGAGAGAGAGAGAGAGAGAGAGAGAGAGAGAGAGAGAGAGAGAGAGAGAGAGACAGAGAGAGAGAGAGAGAGAGAGAGAGAGAGAGAGAGAGAGAGAGAGAGAGAGAGAGAGATTAAGGTAAAGTGGAAGCCCTCCTCATTCACTGTTAGCCACAAAGTGAAGCAAAGTCCCCTTGCCAGCCAGGTCTTGGGGGCCATCTGTCCACTGTGGTTATGCCGTCTAGAAAGGGTACCCAGTACCCACCCTTCACAATTTACAATTTTACAAGCTGTATTTTGTATGAGATTATCAACCATGGCGTCTCAGATACACAACTTACTTTGGCCATCCCAGATTCCAGTTTCCCCGTTTATCAAAGACGGAGGGTTAAACTTCCTGCTTTTGCATCATGCTTCCCAAAACTACCTTCCTTATGACACAGCGGCCTGAAAAGAAGTAAGGTTGGATTTCTCCAAAGTTCCAGGACAAAGATCTGCAGGGTCCAGCTGGAGGTCTCAGGCCTCCACAAATCTGCAGAGGTGGGGATTGGAATAGTGCAAACATTGTCTTTCCTCCCCACTGTATGTTAGCTGAGGGGTTCCTTGATAAATCTGTTTTGCAAGCCCACTCTCCAGAGCATCACCAAATCCTTTTAGAGATGAACCAGCCTCTCCCTATCTCTCCCTCTACCCCCATTAAACCATACGGGAGCATTTGAAATAAACTCAGCTTAATGCAAAAACAAAAGGCCATCCTCACTTCTTCAGAAAGGTGGCAGTATTGCCTTGCGGTTTTGAGCAAGTTACCAAGCATGTGAGGTCTCTGGTGAACAACCACCTTCTCCTCAACATGGAAAGGAGAGGACAGATGAAATCCATGGCTAACACTGATGGTTAGTGGCTAGGAGATATGCCCCAGAGCTGCAGGGGCACTCTGGCTTGTGGCCACTTAAGCTCTTGAATTTTCAACTTGCCTCACTATATAGAGCCTTAGAAAATCTGTAGTGGGTCCCACAGACACCTAAGGACCAGGAGTAACAAAAGCAGTCACAGAGGCTCCTTGTGGCCCATCAGCCACTGTACTCACTTTTGAACCACCCATCTCAAGTCAAATAATTGTGTAGCCCATTCAGAAGCACCAACGAAAGCCATTGAGAAGGAACGACACCAGCATCCAGCCGACACCTGTTGCCCAGAAGGCTCCCACCAGAACTCTCATCAAAAGGATCCTTCTTAGAAGTTGTGTTCCGCCATCAATGAATGGTCTGTTACCACCATTATAAAAGCAATAACAAGCAAAGCGAGGTGGCCCTACCGGGATAGTGATGCGGGAACCCACACTCCTGCACCTTCTGTAGGCCTCCAGACAAACCCTTTCCTTCTCTACTCACCTCTCTGGACTGTCCCATCAGAAGTTTCTCCGTGCGCTACTAATACAACAATTTTAGGGAAAACTGTCCATTTATAAATATCAGATGGTTTGGGAAAAAATATTTGTGGCACTGGGTTTTTTTTCCCCCATGGTGATGTCATTTTAAATTCTTAGTGTGCTCCAAATTCGCTATTTTTACTTCCTCCAAGTGACTTTTTTGGGAAATACATTTGTTTGGATTACTACATGTTAAGTGACCCCTGGACTTGACACACAGCACTAGGTTCATCTTCTCAGCAGTTGGAGCTGGTAACGCACCCACTCTCTTAACTTCAGATCCCGTATTTGCCCATTTCAACACTGTTCCCTTTGGATAGTCCCCTCGAAAACTCCTATTCACCGATAGAGGAGAAATACAGTAAAATAAAGACATTGGATTATTCATATAAACAAAACTCACACTCGACACAGGTGAAAGGGAAGACATTTGAAGGCATTCAGTCAAACACAGCTGTTCACTTTGGGGGAACAGAGTGGCGGCCGCCAGCGCAGGCCCGAGGCATTCATCAGAAAGCAGTTGAGTGGAGAGCGGTAGAAATGAAAAGTTTAAGAAGGAGTGCTGAACGCCTTACTCTACCTGATCGGAACTTCCTTCTAATCAGCAAAGAGTGCTCAGACCCCAGGAGTGTCATGGTGAGTCTCAGCAAGCCGCTGGTCGCTGGCCAGACGCCCCCTGCTTTCCACCAGAAACTGGCTCCCGGGAGCCCAGAGGACAGCAGCTAACAACCCAGAATTCATCCAACTCTCAGGGAGCTCCCTTGGGCAGGAGGACGCACAGTGGCCGCCAGTGTCCCCAGAAAACTGGCACCTCCCCCCTCGCCGCGCGCGAGGCTAATTAACTCCCAGCAGGCAGGACCCTCCTCCTCTCAGGGTGGCCAGGAGCAGCCGCATCCTAGGCGTTCCTGACTGATGTCATAGGCTGCCAGCGGTCGCGGAGTATCGCCACTACGCCTTTATGAAGGTCCCAAGTTTGCTATCTGATCCTCTTTACTACTGACAGGAGATCAGCCAATCAGGAGCGGCTGGCGGAGCCTCGGGGGACCCGGCGAGGCCCCGGGAGCCTCAGCAGCCCGCTCTTAACTCTTTGCAGAAGATTCAGCAGCCGCTGCTGGCCCGGGCCGGAGTCTGCACTGACACTGCTAAGTCGGCTGCCTGGAGGCTGCAGGTGGCGCCCGGAGTTCGGAGCGTACCCGGCGGCGCTGGCTGTGCGCGACCTCGGTGTCTCCAGCCTGCTGCAGGGCTCGGGAAGGGACACCCTCGGAACCCGCTGGAGCCCTGCCCAAGAAGCCAGGCTTACAACGCCCGGGAGCGCTCGCTTTTTCTTGGCATCCGAGCGGTGGTGCATCAAGGAGACCGGACATCTTGCAGCAGCTATAGCCGCCCAAGAGAATCCGAGAAGGTGGCGAAAGCCTTTAGCTGTGGATGGATGCCCTCTTTAGGGACACAAGAGACTTGGTGTCTGGGGACTGAGCACAGAGGGGGAAGGTGCAAGAGTCGAGTGCCCTACTGGGTTCTCAACAGGGTAGGACGGGGGCTTGGACATGCCAGGTTGGAAAGGTGCAGAGGCTTTCCCAGTGCCTTCTCTAGTGGGAAATTCACCGCACACCCAAAGCGGCGCTGATGCACGTTTCTAGGGGTCTCTGGCTAACAGGGGTCCCACGTGCGTCATTAAGTACAACAAATATTCTGTGTAAGACAAAGGCACAAATTAAAAAAAAAATCGAACTGCATACATAAAAAATACAATTTGTCATTATTTGCAACCTTCTGTACACGTGGACTCCCAGGTACCCATTCCTCACACCTCCACTTTGTCTCAAAACTCTGAATTCTTGAAAGATCAGCCAGCGACAGGTGGAAGCCTACAAGTGACAATAACTTCTGGGGCTAATCTCTGTCCCGATCCGGGAGCTTCTGCCTCTGTCATCTGTCGCTGAAGACAAGCTAGGCGGACTAGACCTTCCTTTTCCTCACTCTCTGGGCTGCACCAGCGTCGGTATGAATTAAGTTTTCTGGGATAGGCAACTTTCTCCCCCTACTTGATCAGAGAGGAGGTGGAGCCGTCCTACCCAGCTTCCTTTTGCGAATCGGGTTGGGCAGCCCAGGCCTGTGAGAGGCTGCCTCCTGCGGAAGCCCGCATTCCACAAGCTGTGCAGGACTGGGCTGTTCCTGTGGGAACAAACCACCACCGCATTAACAGCTTACATCCACCGAGATTCATTATCACGCAGGTTCGAAGGCTGGCAGTCAGAAATGGGCCTCACCGGGTTAAAATCAAGGTGTTGTCAGAGCTGTGTTCCCTTCTGGAAGCTCATGAAGAGAATCCATTTCCTTTCCCTCTCCAGCTACTAGAGGCCACCCATGTTCCTTGGCTTCTGGCCTGTTCTTCCATTTTCCAAAAGAGAAATTGTAGGTCAAGTTCTTGTTCCATCTTATCAGTCTAACACCCCCCCCCCCCACACACACACTTTTGCATCTCTCTTTGAGTGAGTTAACCTTACTTTAAGGAAACGCTCTGTTAGGCTAACTGATGATGGACCTTAATTCCCATTTGCAATGTAATGTAATAGGGCCGCTGATGCCTGAAAACAGAACACGAAGGCGAGGGTGTGATACTGTGGGTCACACAGAGTGGTTGTCTTCTCAGCTTCTCTTCGCTGTAGCTAAACCCTGCCATCCAGGTCTTCAGTGAAAAGAAATAAAACAGGAAGATTTGGGAGGGGCAAGCTCAGGAGTCTAGAAGAACCCTAAGCAGGTTTGAGCTGTGGGGCAGGGGCTACTCCAGAGAAAAGAGGTGGTAGTATAAGGAGCATTATAAAATCCCATGGAGAAAACAACATTTCAAAAGAAAGAGTGAAGAAAAGAACCAAGCAGGTCTTTACACCGAGGGCAGTGAAGCTGAGACAATGCCCACAGAAACTCAATGGGGGCATTCTTGTTTAGTGGGGGCTGTGATGAAATCAAGGGAAGGCTCCAACCCAGGGGTCTTCCTGACCCAGAGGGAGGGAGCCTGTTTGAGTTTGTGCTTGGAGACAGGAGCCGAGTCCCTCTTTCATTTTCTTTTACTGTTGTTTAATGAGGTGAGGTTTCCCGAATGAGTGTAGGCTACCCTGGAATTCTTTCAGTTTCCATCTCAAAAGGAGTTTATTGATCAACCTTTAAAATAATGCTTCTATTAATTCTTCAAGAATTTCACATCACGAATTTTGAGCATATTCATGCTCCCTCCCCCAAGCCAATCCAGATTCACTCTCTCCATCCTCCTTACCTCCCTACCCGTCCAACTTTGAGTTGTCCTTGTGGTCACCTCCTCTTTTTCCTGCTCTCCCTCCTCCCCCTCCTTCCTCTTTTTCTTTTTTTAAAACCATGGTATTCGATTTGTAATGCCTAACTACTCTCAGGTCAGATGAGGAGCCTGCTCAGGCTGACCACAGTCCTGCCTCAGTCTCTGGAGTGCTGGGATTAAACGTTTGTATCGCCATACCCCCTTTCTTACTTTTGTCCCCTTCCTTTCTTCCTTCCTCTTTCTCCTGTCTCTCTGTCTCTGGGCCTCACCCCCCCCCCACCCTCCACCCCCCTGCCGCTGACTCTGGTGTGAGTTGGGAAATCCTGATAACCACAACCCTCCTCCATTTTTTCCCACCAGAGTATGGAGCAGCTGACTTCTGCCCTCTGGGATTTCTAGCCCTTATGGCTTGGGATATCTATGGATATAAATATGTGCATTATAGAAGCTCATCCTTTGCCCTCTGCGGTCAAATATTTTTATGACTTTTTGGGTGGAATTTGGACAGGCTGTTCCCCAGGAGAATGGAATCTCAGACAGCTGCTGTCAGAATGTACTGTAGCAGCACAGCAGTGGCTGCCGGTGCAGCCTGACTCCTCACCGGTAATTTTTCAAGGTCCTTCCTCTTTCTCAAGGAATTTTGTTTTGATTTTTTTTAACTTTGCTGTTAGTCAATTGTTTTTGGTTTTGTTTTTTTACTATGTCAGAAATTATAGTCACGTGACATGTAAGGATGGCTCAATCTACCACGGACGAGTGGAACCCATATACAAGGATGCTCCCTTAAGATTGTAAGTTCTTATATAGAGATGAAAAGAATAAATTCTAACTAAAAGATCGACTTAACCATCTCTATTGCTAAACTGAGAGTGATGGTGCTTACCTCTAAGACACACACACACACACACACACACACACACACACACACACACACACACGCATCCGCACAAGGGAGAGAGAGGAGGAGGGTCAGGAATTCACTGTCATCCTCAACTAGAGAGGGAATTCAAACCAAGGCTGTAGCAGAGCCTGTCTAAAAATTAAAACCAAACAAAGAAAAAGTCCAAGCAACGACAACGACAATCCTCTCTGTCCTTTGTTGGTGGTTTGCCCCAAAGACTGTGGGGCAATGCACTGCTCATAGGTCTGTGGTGCTACAGGTAGAGATGGGTCCATCTTTACCCACCTCCTTCCCCCCCAAAAAGCCTCATCTTTACCAAATATGCTCTGCTCAGTCTAGTGCCGCGTATCACTTTTACCAGTGCAGCACATGGTGAAGGGGAACTATTATTATACAAGGGGGTATGGAAATCACTGCACGTCATTCATAGCTGTGGTACTCAGTCTGAAGGTAACATGGGAATGGCTGTGTTCATGGGCCTGAGCCCAAAGCATGGCTCAGGGAAGTCAGTTTGAATTCTGATCGGAGACCTTCTTCCTTGAGTACAGCCTGAGGCCAAATGGTAGGTCACAGGCAGGTGCAGTGTGGTGAGCACAGTCAGAGCACCTACGCAGGCTGAGGACTTGCAATTCCTCCCTGGAGGAGGCTCCTTCTTAGCCTGGTCTCTGCTTTTCCCACTGGCATCAGCTCTCACAGTGATCTTGAAGAGTCCGTGATTCAGGTGTCTCCTCCCTCCTACAGTCCTTCCTCTTCCTTCCACAGGTCTGATTGACAAGCAATCAGAGGACCGTTTGCTCTTCCTTCACATACTCTGAAAATACGTTCCAGGATGTGCCTGTGGCCCCACGGCAAGTACCCTGTCAGGCAGATTTGCAAACTCCAATGAGTTGAGTGGTAGGAAGGTAAGAAAAAAGTGCAGGGGTGAAGGGTAGCATGCAACAGATGGGGCGGCAGATAGCTTGCCCAGGTGCCTGTGGCCACTGGGGAGGAAATACAAATCCATGTTCTACAACTGCTCAGGATCGGAAATCCAGGGTGTAAAACACTGGGTTTTTGAAAACACAAACAATTAGCAGCAAACAGCAATAAAATATGCCCTACTATATGACCGGTCGGTCTGCGGGGACGTGCAGATTATTCAAAAAATGAGTGGAAAGTTGTAAATACGATATGTCGTGTAAGAGCAACTGCCTCTACCGAATGATACCATGCCTGTGCTCACTGCTGACAGAGGCATGGGAGATTGAGAGCTTCAATCAGTGCAGCAGAAGCAGCCAAGTACAAGTGCTTGTTAACTGTCTCCCCTTCTCAATCTAGAACACTGTCAGCTGTCAGCTTCTCCCAGCATCCCCGGGGCCCGTGCAGGAGGAAGTGGGTACCCCGTCTCTGCTGCATTAACCTCTGGTCGAAAGAACATGAGGGCACACTCACTGTGACTTCAGGCTGAGTGGTAATTCCACGCCACTATTAGCTGCCTCAGGAAAGCAATTTAACTTCTCACCTCTGAAAAACCGCTCAAACTCTAGCTGGGCAGGGGAAATAGGTCCAGTCACTGACTGAAGGAATGTAGCCTCAGTCACTAGCTTATTTCAATTCCAGAAATATTTATTCAGCACCAACTGTGTTCTAGCAGCAAAGGGAATATAAAGATGGAACAGATAGGGGCTGGGACCTTGAGCTGAGACTGCAATGATGGGTCTTCTGTAGGCTCCCAACAAACCTGAATCCGGGGTCATTACTGCACAGTGCTAGTTAATGTCATCATGTCTCAGGTGGGACTCATGTCAGGCACAGCTAATAGAACCCGCTTGCTTTTGTGAAACTGAATATAAAAGGACTTTTTCCTAACTTAAACAAAGACTTCAATTTAAACAAATGTTAAAATAAAAAGTAGTTTCAGTTGAAAGAATCTGCCACAAACCTTTCTTTCCCTGCCTGACAGAAACACTTCCCACCCTGCCTCCTCCTCAAAGGGCATACAACTTGAAGCCAAGTTGAAGCCATTGGGCGAGAGGATGATGTTACAGGGTTGAAAGGTCATGGGCCCTGCATCCTCTCTACTTTGTCCTTCAGTGTCCTTGCTAGTCCTTTAAGGAGTAGAGACCACACACCAGCAGAGAGTCTGCTGGCAGCTTTTGAATCAACCCCATCCCATTTTCCAACCCCTTCTAGTGTTTAGGTTACAGAGCATGAAAGTTTTGTTCAAGCTACTTTGAATTACAGCTCTACAATGGGCCTGTCCTTCTGGCCCAGGGTCGGCCTAGGACGACTCTCATTGATGAGCTTCCTTTGTCCTAGAGCATGTGGAAGATGGAAAAGCCTAGAACAGGGATTAAGCCACCATCAGCTAAGTGTGAGCTGCATGCTACAACATATTCAACTCTTTTTTTATTTGTTTGTTTCCACAAAACTCAGAGAA